GGAAGTCACACTTAAGGGTGTGAGGGAAAGGTTCCAAGGGAGGAAACTGCATCTCAAACCAGAATAGGAATCTATCCAAAAAGTTGGTGTGCTTGGAAGCTACCCATTGGAGTATAGGAGAATGCTGCCCACATGGAGGTGGAGTGCATCACAAGCCACTGAAGAAGCATGCTGAGAGAAGCCACATACCAGGACCAGGGAGAAAAGCCTGTTCTTCCTCCATTCAGGTTACATCTAGTGTCTTTTCATTTGAACTTGAAGGACTCCCTTTAGCATTTATTGTAATGCAGGTCTAGTGGTAACAAACTTTCTCCATTTTTTGTTTATCTGGGAATGTCTTAATTTCCACCTTGATTTTTGAGGGACAGTTATATGGATATAGAATTCTTGGTTGACAGTTCTGTTCTTAGGCACTTTAAATATGTAAGCACACTTCTTTTTGGCCTCCAAGGTTTCTGGTGAGAAATTGGCTAATAATCTTGTTGAAGATCCCTTGTATGGGATGTGTCACTCTTCTATTGGTGCTTTCAAGGTTCTCTCTTTGTCTTTTGGCAGTTTAATTATAATGTGTCTTAGTATGGGTCCTTGTATCCTACTTGGAATTTCTCAAGCTTCTTGGATTTGTAGAGTCACGTCTTTCTTCACATTTGGAAAGTTTCAGCCATTATTTCTTCAAATAATCTCTAACCCCTTTCTCTCTTTTTGTCTCCTGAGACTTGCATAGTGCATACATTGATCCACTTGATGGTGTCCCACAGATTATCTCTGCTTGCTTTTCTACATTTTTTTCTTTTTACTTCTCAGACTCAGCTATTTCAATTGTCCTGTATTCAAGTTTGCTAATTCTTTCTTCTGCCTGCTAAAATCTGCCCTGAACTGGTGGATTTTTTCATTTCAGTTCTTATACTTTCAATTCCAAAATTTATCTTTGTTTCCTTAATTTCCATATCTTTATTGATATTCCCATTTTGTTTACAGATTGTCTTCCTGACTCTATCTGTGCCTTCATTTGGTTCCTGAGCATTTTTAAGACAGTTGTTTTAAAGTATTTGTCTAGCAAGGCCAACATCTGGATTTCCTCAGGGACAGGTTCTGCCAATATATTTTGTTCTTTTGAATGAACCATACTTTCCTGTTTCTTTGTATGCCTTATGATGTTTTCATTAAAAACTAGACATTCAAATCTTAGAATGTAGTAACTCTAGAAATAGGTTCTACCCCTTCTCCAGGGTGTTTTGTTTTGTTTTATGATTTAGTGGTATCCCTGGATCAGGAATCAACCTGAAGTGAAAGCTTAAGGTCTTATCAGGTCTTGTTTGAGCCTGTGTCTTTTCCTAGCAATTTCTGGTAGCTTTCTAAGTTCTCCTAGATGAAGTTGTTTTTAAATGTCTTTGTGCTTAAATTTCTGGCTCCTAAAAGGAAAAAGGAGGGAAATCCCCTGGAAGCCACTTCACCTGGTGGAGGTTACAACAATGCCAGCCATCTTCTGCATCTGCACCTTAACAACTGAAAGTGGCAATTAGCAGTCAGAACACAGAAATCAGATATTTGGAAGATATGGTCCTTATTGCTCACCCTGACTCTGGAAAGTTGCACCAGGAGCACAGACATAGCTGCCTGCCTTGGGGTGAAAGATGGGCAGTAACTGTTACCACACTAAAGGCTGAAATTGAGCAAAATTAACTGAAATTGACCTGGCTTTCCCCTGGAAGCTGCAAGCTTTCAAGTAGACTGCAGAGTTTCACAATAGTTTCTTCAGATAGTTTTTGCCAGTATGATTATTGTCTGGATGGAGAAATGGATTCCCAGTGCTTCCTACTCAGCTCTCTTCCCTGACATCATTCCCTCTGTCGGTCATTTTGAGATAAGCTCTGATAATATAGTTCAACTCAGTTTACTACTTATTGAAGACCATCCTGTTCAATGCTCTCTGCTGAGAACACAGAACCCAGATATTTGGAAGATAAGATCCTTCCAAATAAGAGGAACAGGAGGAAGACAGCTCTCCATTTCATAAGGTTGGTGGAAAGCAACATAGCAGAAACCCAAACAAGATTTGGAGATGGTCTACGTAGGAAGGAAAAATAGGGTGGAGGTGACCTCAAAGATGGACAGAGGGTTAGGAGGTGGGAAGTGGGGATTATGGGGTCTGTGAGCTAGATACGGGGCCACATAGAGACTGCCTGTTGGAGAAGTTGTCAGGGAGAAGCAGCAGCATAAGCATATCTGGAGGGAGGTGTGTCAAGGCACGTGTCGTATCCCATGGCCTCCACCTCCAGACCCACTTTCTTCTGGATCCATTTCTCTTACATCATATCACATCACATCTCCTCTCCACCTCCTCACTGTCAGGGGTAAAGGTAATTGTTGTATGTGGGTTAGGCAGATGTAAAACTGGAGAAATCAGCTACTGGAAAGGGAGGAAACTGAAGCGTTAATGGAAACTCAGTAACAACTTAGGAAGTTAATCACATGATGTTCACCAATCGCAGTCTGTACTCAAGTGTGTAGGAAATGTAGCTTCCTTTATTCTTCTACAAACCCACCTAATTTGTATTTTTATACTCCCTTCCAGTCCATGTTGTGTTCCTCATGACTTCAATGTCTGCCCTGCTTTCTCTGAGTCTGCATCTAAATTCCGTGAGGAGCATCTGGTCCCTATGTTGTCTGGTTCCTTAGTTTCCTGGGGCTGCCATAACAAAGGACCCCCAACCAGGTGGCTTCAGCAACTGAAAGTTATTGTTGTACGATCCTGGAGGCTGGAAGTCCAAATCAGGGTGTCGACAGGGTTGGTTTCTCCTGAGCAATATGAGGGAGAATCTGTTCCAGGCCTCTCTCCCAGCTTCTGGTGGCTTGCTGGCAATCTTTGGAGTATAGAAGGATTATCCCAGTCTCTGCTTTCATCTTCTTATGGTGTTCTCCCTTTGTGTGTGTGTGTGTGTGTGTGTGTGTGTGTGTGTGTGTGTCTCTCGATGTGTTCTTTTTATAAGGACACTTCATATTGGATTAGGGGCTCAACCTACTCTAGTATAGCCTCATTTTAACTAATTTTATCTGTGTCCTGTTGGCCCTATTTCCAAATCCGGTTGCACTCTGAGGCACCAGAGGTTAGGACCTCTGCGTAGAGTTTTGTGGGCCTAGTTCAGCCTGAAACATTGTGCCATGCTGCATCTGCTGCCTCTCTTGTTCCTTCTCTGGCGCCCGCTCATGGGGACTCACTTATTGCCAGGGTGATGTTTTTCCTGCTGATACATGTAACTCTTGGGGGCCAGCCCCTCTCTGCTCCTTCCACACTGTGCCTCGTGGCACAGGATTTGATTGATTCTGTCTGCCAGTGGTACCTGGGCCAGGGTTCCTGGGGAGGCTGTCTGAGCCCTTTCTGCCTAAACACTCCAAGCAATCATTTCTCTGAAACTGATGCCTCCCTTGCTTTCTAGACAGGAAGCAGAACACAAGTCCCCTCTTTTCTCAGATTCCATAAACCTTCTAGAGGTTTAGCTGTTGCCTAACTTGAAGACCAGCAGAGCTCAGGGCCCCACTATGGGGCCACCAGTAGGTTTAATCTCTCTAGATCTCTTCTTCTCCTGGGGAAGGGAACTGTTTTCTGGTGTGTATGAGATAGACACAAGTATGAAAGGGGCCTTTCTCATCAGGATATTTTCTCCAAGACATCTGTGTAGACCAGGAGCTGGCAAACTTAAGGCGCGTGGGCCAAATCTGGCTCACCACCAGGTGTTTGATAAAGTTTTATTGGGACACAGCCATGACTGTTCTTTTACATGTTATCTCTAGCTGCTTTTGTGCTACAGTGGCAGATGAGTGATTGGAGACTGTATGACCCACAAAACCAAAAATATTCACTATCTGGCCCTTCACAGAAACAGCTTTTCATCCCCTGGTGTAGACCTTTATGACACGAAAGCCCAAAGGCTTCTGCCGTCTTCTGCTGTTATCTCTCTCCCCTAAAGCAACAATCGCAGGGTGGCCTTGCTCTCTGAACATGAAAAATGACAAAGGAAGAAAAAGAAATACACAACATGAAATGAATAGTGTGTCGAGATGACATTTGGCCAACAGGTGTGTGTGATTTGTGGGAATTCATTGACCAGAACAGTTTGGACGTGTGCCCTTTTCTTTCTTTCGTAGGCTGAATTTCAATAAAAAGTGTTGGGGGTGGGAGTGGATAAGAAATCTTATTCCATCATGATGACCTTGGCATCATGGAAATGAATGGAACCAATGAGGTTGCCCAGGCCTTCCTCCAAGGACACCCTGGGGCCTTGCAGAAGCACAGGGCAGAGCCATGCTTTGGCCAGCCAGGCCCTCACACGTGTGGACTTGGCCAGTGAACACAGCCTGGGTCTCCAGAATGGCTTAAAACCCCAGCCTCGGCACAGAGCATCTAGGACCCAAGACCACAGCATTGACTATGTGTGGTCTCACACCTGCCTAGGCAAAGGTAGTGCAGCCCAGATCTAACTGGTCTCCACTCGAAGCCCATGAGCAGGTGAACTCCTTGTTCTTATTCTTTTCATTATAAAGTAAACGAGCTATGTATTTACTCATCCTGAAACTTAACCTCCAGAGTATACCTGGGGGCCATTTACAGGTCTTCATGTCAGAGAAGACCCCTGCAGAACACACACACACACACACTCTAAAAATGTCCTTTGGGTTTTCAGTGTTACCCATGGCCAAATTTTAAGTTCAGATCAGATGAAGGACGCAATGGGTGGATCTTGCTGAACTGATACTCACTGCCTTCTCTTTCCATACGACCTTGATTTGCAGTTCTCAGATGCACGTTTCAGAGGGTTCACTTAAACATGCCGGCAATGTGGGTCTGGCATTGTGGGCATTTGGTCTGTAACAGCAGAGGAGGGGTGGCTTTGGAAACCTTGCCCTGCCCTCCCCCGCTCCTGGCAAGAGAGACAGAAACACAGCTCTCCTGCTCTTTAGTCGCACCATCTGGTTAATGCAGACCTTCGTCTTCCTTCTAGCCCTGGGCCTGGAGGCACACACTGCCCGGGTGCCAGTGTGGAACACGCGGTCTGCGAGAACCTGCCCTGCCCCAAGGGTCTGCCCAGCTTCCGGGACCAGCAGTGCCAGGCGCACGACCGGCTGAGCACCAAGAAGAAAGGCCTGCTGACAGCTGTGGTGGTTGATGGTAAAGGCATATGGCATGTCCTTGCATGGCAACCTCCTATCCTCCCCGAGGAACATACAAACCACCTAGGGAAGCCGGGGAGCATCCCCTTTCCCAAACCAACCCAGCAAGACACTCCAGTCCTCTGCCCAAGTTAGCTGCAGCCCAACTTTGTAAGTTGTGGGGTTGACCTTGAATGACCCAACTCTCTGAGATGTTCCAACTGCAGCTGTTGAAGCAGGCAGCAGGCCAGGTGCATCCTCCAACCCCATTTGTAGCAAGGAGGCTGTGCTGGCATCCTGCCCCTGGCGCCGTGTGTAGAGGGACCCAGGATAAGCTGAGGAGACCGAGACTTTACAGGAGCATCCCAGTGTGTTGGTGTGGCTGCTGTCTGGCTTTCCATTGCAGATGCTTCCCTGTATTGCTTCTCTTGGTTTATTTTGTATTGGCTCTTAATCCTTGGCTAGGATGTTGGGGGACATTTTGAGAATAGTTTACAACTTGGGAAAGATGATAATAAGCACAGGTCACATTTTCTTTCCAAGAGCTTTCTCCTGAATCAAGAGGCTCTGCCCCGTTGGGCCACTGCCAGCATTTCCAGTAGCTGATGAAGTACTAGGTGGTGTGTCATGTATACATTTGTAATGTCTGCTTAATTAATGTCCTTAATAGATAAGGACACCCCAGGGCCCGCTTCAGGGTTGTTGTTGTTGTTTTCTTTTTTCACCTAAAACCGTTCTTCTCTAGGAAACAAGACTTTGTGTTATAATGATGACATATGAGCCCGTTTATCAGTATGTCATGTACAAGACACAAGTTAGCTCTACCTGCATTGTCTCGTTTAATACGCAAAACAAGCTGTGCAGAAGATCAGAGGGAGTGAGGTTACAGGACTCCTCTCAGCGCCTGCAGCTGACAAGAGGCCAGGGCGGGAGCTGACCCCAGTTCCAGAGCGGCTGACTCACAGAAAATAGGCAGCTGTCGTCTGGCTTCCCACACTTGAAGAAGACAGACAGCATGACTTCATGGGTGTGGGGTGAGGGAGCTTGAAGAAGAACTCAAGAAACTGGGCCCGATTTTTAGACAGCCTCAAAAATGTTTTGCAGAAGAATGACGTTCGGATGCCAGGTCTTTTGTTTCTTCCCCGTGATGGGAAGAGCCTTTGAAATCTGCATTCGGTGGTCTGCGATTGCAAGTTCAAGTGTGCATAGCTGTGTGAAGGTAGGCCCGGGCATCTCTGGAATAGCAGCCTCAGATCTGCAGCTTTTAGTCTAACAGCTTGACCCATCCTCTTTGAGCTGACTTGTAAAGCAACATGTGATGCTCTAAATTGTAGCAGATAACACCAGCCCACTCAAATGAGGACTCATTTAAAGGTATTGGGGAGCCCCTGTCATTCTCCTTTTTTAAAAAGAACACCACCTTCGGGGACTGTGTAACGTAGCTGTGCCATCAGCTCGCCAGCAGAATTCAAGAGAAACATGGCCTTTGCACACTGAACTTTCCCTGCAGATGAGGGAGAGAGGAGACCTGCCCTCCTCAAAAGAACGAGTGTGACTAGAGCCATGCACTTGCACGTGGACCTTTGCCTCTCTCTGCCTGGCCATGAATCGGATGCAGGAGGTGGCAGGAGGCAGCAGGAGACTTCCCGCTGTGTCAGGCACACCCAGACCCCGAATTGGAAGCGAGAGAGCTGCCATTTGGTTCTCATGAGAAGCAGCCCTGAATCCGAACCTTCAGCTTTCCCCAGCATGCCAGATAAAGATGCTTTTAGACCTCTTTACTGTCCGCTCCCACTTTGCAGGAACAAGAAGAGGTCAGGTCTGGGACAGATTCGCGCTCTTCAAATTTCAGCTCAACTTCGTGCACCAAGTTGTTCTTTCCCTGGTTGCCTGCTTCAGTTTTCAATGCTCCTGTCTCATTTATTCAACACAGAAATCCCACTTAAATGTCTGTTTTTCCACAGTTTTCTCCAAGTCCAGATTAAACTTCTGTTTTCCTTCTGACCGCTTTTGGATGGCTGGACTCTCTGGTTGCCTTATCACCACAGTGGCTGGGACTTCAGTCTGCCCAGATCCTCCACCCAGGAAGCCTTGCGGTGTGGCTCTTTGGGGAGCTGCTTGGATTGGGAATGTGACCTTTCACCCACTTACTTTCTGTTTCTCTCTGCCTAAGTCATAAGTTATTGTCACTAGAGTGCCACCGCCTTTGATCTGAAAAGAGCAGCCCTGTTTGATAAGGACAGCTAACAGGCAGTAAGTATCTGACGTTTGAAGGAGAGAGACCCCACGCTCTGGGCTTTGCACAGGTAGCTCGACACGTCCTCCTCTGGGTTAGAATCGCCCTGACTTCTTCCATCTGCAGTTGCATTTCTCTCTCAAATACAAACAGAAGCCAGCACTTTTAAAAGGAGCATTTCCTAAAGGGTAAAAACAAAATAATAAAGGGCCAATTTAGAAGGCAGGAGGAGAATACGGATTATAAGTGTTCCTCTGAAAACTCCATGTATAAAAGGCACAGTTCTAGCTGAGCCATGATAGGAACGATTCCTGTGGTTGGGCTCCGGGCTCTTCTGAAGCCCATTATGACTGCCCTATTCATAGCAGTGCTATCGCCGCGGAATTCTTTGGCGAGTGACGCACAGTTCAAGAGAAGGGAAGCTAATTTTTTTTCTTTTTTTTCTCTCCCTTTTTTAAAAAGAAAAAGGAATTCTTGCAGAGGTAGATTTTCCAAGCGAGGATTCAGGACCACAAATCCATCCCACCTCCAAAAGAAGACAAAGACCCTCCTTAGAAAATATTTCTAAGTGGAAAAGCCTTTAGACAGAAACCCATTGAGATGGCCCACTGCCAAACCCACCCTGTTTCTGCTTTTCCCGTGGAATCTCATTGAAGTGGAAACCTTCAAGAGTTCAGTCCTCCCTGCCCAGGCCAGCAGGCCGCGGGCCCACTGAAGTGTCGGAGAGCTTGGCAAAGGCTGCGTCTGGACGTGGCTGTGCGTTCCCAGCTCCTCCTGCCTGGCACAGCAGAACCCCCCAGGTCTGAGCCGCTGTGGGGATGAAGGGCGTGATGGTTAGGACTCTCTGACTCCAGCTCCGCCAAACCAGCTGGGGCTGCTTAATGAAAAGGAGGGAAGCTGTTGCAAAGCTGAAGATGTCAGGACCTTAGCGCGGTGGTCTCTGCAGCTTGTGTTTGGCAGTCACACCCCCATGCACCCACTGCACTGGCTTTCTCAGAACTTGTCCACGTGCAAGCTGGCAGGGTAGCCCACGGCACCTCTTATGTAAATCCACATCCCGTATCCACATCCTTTTCGGCCACATACATTTCAGGTTGCAGAGCATTTTATGTGTTCCAAAGGTAATAATGGTGCACCAACCAAATACTTGTATCACTGGTGGGCTCCAGGAAAGCACCCCATAGTCAGACACGCGGGTCTGTCCACCAGGTAACTTCATTAAGGGGGATACTAACACTACCAAGAGCTCACATCAGTCCAGGCTGGTTTTGCTGCCGAATGTGTTTGCCACAAATGGAAGACAACACTTACAGTTTTCGGAGCTTTTTGGATTTCTGAATTACATATAAAGGAGTGTGGCCTTCTTTGGGATCCATCAAGCATCAGCAGACATGACTTCTCTGCATCTGAATTTCAGTACTGAGTTCCCAGGAAAGAGACAAGGAATAGGCCAGCTATGGACAGGCGCTCACTGCTGGTCAAATCCAGAGGCCTGTCTGCCAGGGCCTGATGAGGGGGCCGGGGTGGGCAGCTTTGGGAACAGGAGTCCAAGTAGCCCCTTCAGCATGTGTCCCCCACAGAGGACCAGGGAGAACTTGGATGAGTGCTGTGATGAACTCAAAATAAAGCAGGGTCTCCACCATACTAAGACCTTCTAACTGCTGGCCTAGAGAGAGAGAGAGAGCAGTGAGACTACTGACAGCCACGAGTGTCGTCTTCACTGCAGAGGAAGGTTTCAAACCTCCAGCGGGCACATGCGACCATGTGGCTCCCAAGCTTCTGAGCCCATCTTCCCTGCCCTGCCTGTGACCGCCTCCAGCCAAGCGGAAGTCCTAACGCCAGGCAGGCCAGCAGGAAGCCAGACTGGCTCCAGGCTTTGCAGCATCAGTCAGAATTCCATCTGAGCACACACCAGCCATGCAGATGGCACGTTCCAAGCTTCCTTCCTTCAAGTGTGTGGTTGTATAACTTTTAAGAAAATGTGATCTCCTTCTGTACTGCTGGGAACGTAAGAGTGTTGATGCTGTGCCCAAAGCTGAATCCCACCACCTCATGTTATTTATTGGGGTCTTATTCCTGGAGATTAATCTCCCACCTAAGGCAGCCTGGAGGGAAATAGAGAATTTTGAGGAATTCGGAGCCTCCTCCGCACATTTTAAGAACCTTATCCTTTGGGAGATCATGCCATATAGTTTGCTAGAGGTGTGGGTACCCTGAATTCCAAGCAGAGGCCTCAAAGAGAAGATGGACAAATGGAGAGTTCTGACTGAGCAGGGAAGGGAAGCCCCACCTCCAGACTCTGTTCTGGAGCCCGAGTGTCCCCGGCTGTCCAAGCTGTGGAGGGCGGTGTCTGCATGTGAGAGAGCTGCATGCAGGTGGAGCTGAGCGTTCCTTCCTGCGAGGCTCATGGCCAGCATCCCTTCAGCTGAGGTTGGCCTTCCTGCTTTGCAGAGTCCACATTTCTCTGCTCACCCTAAAGAGTCCAGATAAACAGCCTTCATCCTTTTCAAGTCTGACCTTTCTAACTTGCCTCAAAAACAGCCTCTGCTTTTCTACCCAAGTCCCACTTCCACTTCTGCTCAAATCAGAGGATACACTCGGAAGCCAGAAACCTGCATGAAACTGATGATTTGTTTTTAGCAATGCTACTTTGCTCTTGATAATTTTGGCCTCAGGAGTTCTCAGTTTAGAGAGGAAATTGCGATGATGGAAAAAGAACCAGGCTGGAGCCAAGAGGCTGGGGCGTGGCCCACCAACTGCAGACAGTCGAGCACTTTCTGTGAGCCCTGTGTGCATGTCCGTATAATGGAACGATGACAGCACCCACCTGAAATGAATAGACAGTACTTAGCATGCTGCCTGGAACACAGTGATAGTAAATGTCATTTATGATTTCATCATCCTTACTACTGTTGAACAATTCACCTCAAAGCTCAATTACTCCCAGTACTGAGTCTACATTTCAGTCTGAAGGTAATTAAAATCCACTTCAGCCAAGGGACCCTTGCTTTCAATGAAACAGTAGAGGCAGCCCAGTATGTGGAGTAGACCCCACGCTGGGGGCTGTGTCGCTCTATGTCTCCCACCAGCTCCCCAAGATGCTTGGGGAACCTCAGGGCCCCTGAGGGTACCTCAGTGACCCTGTCAAGCAAGCTCCCTCAAGCTAATCTCAGTGTACGTCTCCATCTTCCAGAGTTCTCCTTCCACCAGCCACCTCCTGTGGTCCTTCCCTGCAAATGGAAGGACAGCTGCCCCTAGCCTGCCAGCACAGGAAATGAGTCATTCCTTCCAGGCTGCACCCAGCCCTCCGACAGCTCCCATCAGACCTGTCACATGTGGCTTCATCCTGGATTTGCTATGCACTTGTCCATGAGCCCACTGGGGCCTTCAGAAGCAAACATCACGTGTCTGTCTTTCCCCAGAAATGCCCCCAGAGTGCCTTGTATGAGGGAGGGGCTCAGTCCCTGCTTGGTGAATGGATATATGGTGAGGCATCGTTACTCTGCTGTCCTGGGAAGCTTAAGATCTCCAGTCTACTCTCGAGCAGATGTTTTCCCCCACAGCTAACTGGAAGAACTGAGTGAAGCATTTCCACCACACTCCTGGAGCTTCTTTCCAGTGCTGTAAGACAAGATTTCCTACGGAGCCTGCTCAGCAGCAGAGCTTCGTGGGACAGAAGGCCTGGAAAGCGACCGAACACAGGGGTGGTTTATTCCTCCAATCACGAGACAGCACATCTGCCCTGACGAGAACTCTGCCAAGGTCCTCCGAGGCCAGGTCGGCTCAGAAGCCTCTCTCTGTCCCTGTTCTTGCTAGCCCCAGGCCACCAGAAGGACCCACTGAGGAGGCCTGGTGGAGAAGACAAAGAGCAGCAAGGAGGATGAAGGTCTTTGACTCTCCCCCTGTGCAAAGTAACCACATAGATAGCATTAGGGTAAGGTGACTGAGAAAAAGAGAGAGGGGAAAAATGCATTCCTCTTGCTCAGTTACTTACAGAAGAACAAAATCTATTAAACCTATTTGTTCAAAAATATATACTGAGTCTTGTCGGGCTCAGTGGCTCATGCCTGTAATACCAGCACTTTGGGAGGCAGAGGTGGGCAAATCACGAGGTCAGGAGGTCGAGACCATCCTGGCTAACACATTGAAACCCCATCTCTACTAAAAATACAAAAATTAGCTGGGCATGGTGGCGGGCACCTGTAGTCCCAGCTACTCGGGAGGCTGAGGCAGGAGAATGGCGCGAACGTGGGAGGCGGAGCTTGCAGTGAGCTGAGATTGCGCCACTGCACTCCAGCCCGGGCAACAGAGCGAGACTCTGTCTCAAAAAACCAAACTCTATATATGTGTATATATATATACACACACACACACAGACACATACACACACACATATACGTATATGTGTATATACGTATATGTGTGTGTGTATATATACGTATACATATATGTGTATATAGGTGTGATATATATACACACACACACACACACACACACACACACACACACACACACACACACTGAGTCTTTCTGTGAGCCAGGTCCTGGGCCCAGTGTGGGGACAAAAAATGAAAGCTTAAGTCCCCGGCCCTCTAAGAGCTCACAGACTCAGCATTACTTCAATCTGAAGATGATTAAAAGTCATCTCTCTCACACTCCTTTAGCAGTGGGACCTGCCTTATAATAAATCCCTTCATTTTTGGGAGGTGCCCAGACAATTCTAGGACAACAGGCAGATGCTGGCGCTTTAATGGAGGTGTGTGCACAGTGCGTGTGGAGATGCTAGTCCTACCCCACGTCAGAGCTGGCTTGAGGGAAGAGCTGCAGGGTGGAAGCTTCCAGGGCAGTAGAAGGCAAGGTGCTGCAAGGGATTTCCAGGCAGAGAGAGCATGCTGGGCAAAGACTTGGGAGCTGGGCGTGTTCTGGGAGGTCACGTGTTTTTAGGAGCAGGGGAAACCCAGGTTTCCATCCTGGCTGAGTGCACATGCGGCTCATGTAAGTTGTCCTAGCAGCCCACATGTCCCCTTTGTCCCCCTTACTCCCACTCACTTCCTTCTGGGATCTCCATGCCCCGTAGCACAGCTCTGCAACTGTCACCCAGCAGCTAGGGGAGCACTAAAGCTCTTGCCAAAGCTACTGTCATGGAGACCCTGGGAGCCATTCCCCCCACTCGGAGCCATTCTCGTTCACCTTCCCCTCCCCCTCCCTTCGCACCCCTGCTATAAGAGTGGCTCCGCTCACCCTTGACGTGTATTCAACTAGAGATTAGCACACAACTATTCCTTTGTTCAGCCGGATATATTTGATGCCTTAAGGGAAAGGAAATGCTGTATCATTGCAAAGGATAGAGAGATGAGAAAAGGCAGCCCCACAGAGCTCAGACCTGCGCTGTCATTCCCGAGACTGTGGGTCTTTTTCCACTTGCTGTTTAGAGGAGCTGGAGCCTGTACCTGAGCTCATGCACCTTTATTGACTTGTGCCGACCTCTCTTCCTCAGGGTTTCCCACTGCCCACATGTACCTGCGCCCTGCATGGCCCACGCACACCTTCCCATGTCAACGTCCCCCAACCTTTCCCTCCTCAGATAAGCCATGTGAACTCTACTGCTCACCCCTCGGGAAGGAGTCCCCACTGCTGGTGGCCGACAGGGTCCTGGACGGCACACCCTGCGGGCCCTACGAGACCGATCTCTGCGTGCACGGCAAGTGCCAGGTGACGTACTTCTTCAGTCCTTGGTGGGGCTTTGGAGAAGAGACTCTCTCTCCCCAGACAGGGAGTGGGGTAGAGCAGAGGTCTCAGGAGGCCTCGGGGAGTGGATTTTCTTAGGAAAGCACCCAGCGATGCCACCTCCTGCAGCCAGCGTTGCCTGGCGCACCACCCCTAGCTCAGTAATGACTGAGCGCTAGGCCAACAAGGAGTGGAGGTGGCTGAAAGAACAGGCACAACATATTCTAAGACTGAAAATTGCTTTAGGCATCATGACTAAGACGAAGGTAGGCAGGGTACTAAGATGCACCTAAAGGATGTCTGCACAGGCCAGGCTCTGTTTAGTGCAAAAGAGACGGCAGAACTGAGCCAATTCCTGTGCAGGTAACGCCAGGCAGATAGATGCGCCCAGCTGTCAGGGGTCACCCATCTACTGGTATATAGTCCCAAAGGCATTGAGGGCTGGATGGCCATGACTGGTTAGAACAGTGATAAAAATCATTTGAGAAAAGAAAGAGAGGCTGGATGTGGTGGCTCACGCCTGTAATCCCAGCACTTTGGGAGGCCGAGGCAGGGGGATCATAAGGCCAGGAGTTGCCTCGTCAACATGGTGAAACTCTGTCTCTACTAAAAATACAAAAATAAATTAGTTGGGCATGGTGGCATGCACTTGTAATCCCAGCTACTCGGGAGGCTGAGGCAGGAGAATTGCTTGAACCTGGGAGGCGGAGGTTGCAGTGAGCTGAGATCGTGCCACTGCCCTCCAGCCTGGGCAACAGAGCAAGACTCCATCTCATAAAAAAAAAAAAAAAAAAAGGAGGGAGGGAACACGAGAAGAAGGAAGGAAGCTTGCCCTCCACCTATATTAACCCCGGCCAAGCTGGGGGCCACCTGTAGCCCTTAACCTCCCCAGCTGGGGCTCCTGGCCTGGGGTAGCAGAGGTGACTCTGTGCTCCCATTTTGTCCCTCAGAATGAGCACCTCCTGAGGTGATACAGCAGCTGGGATAGGGGGTGGGTGTCAAGAAGCTGTGTATTTTCCATGCCTAGAGGGGCGTGACACCTCACTTATGCCACAGGCACCGTACTCCCTGGTGACTTGGGTCAAGCTGGGCATGTTGTGAGAGAGCCCCAGCATCTTAGCTTGGGCATCTGTAATGACGCACCATACACCAGGCAGCTTATGAACAACTGACATTTATTACAGTTCTGGAAGCTGGGAAGTCCAAGATTGAGGCATTGAGGCACGGGCAGATTTGGGATCTGATGAGGGGTTGCTTATCATAGACAGCGTTTCTTGCTGTGTCCTCGCATGGTGCAAGGGTCTGGGGAGCTCTCTTGTGAGTCTCTTTCTGTTCTTGAGGGTTCTGCCCTCATGTCCCAGTCACCTCCCAAAAGATCCCACCTCCTAACACCATCACCTTGAGGGGTGATGATTCAACATATGGATTTGAGGAGACACAAACATTCAGACCACAGCACCCAGGGAGCCTTCTGCCCTTGCCACACACACCTGTTCCCGTCATCCTATGGCCATGTTCCCTCAACTGTGTCCTCCACTGGGGAGCCCACCAAGAGCAAGTGACGATGGCAGCTCCTGATGTCTGGAGCAGGCAGATCAGTGACAGGATCACCATGCATTGCCCTCACGGAACTGTGGCTGAGCCAGATGCTGGCTTCCAGGCGTCAGGTCCACTTGCCCATGTGGACAGCAGATCCGCTTACGCGCTTTGCCTGCTCAGTGCCTAGCAGAGTGCATAAGCATCAATGTTTTAGTGTGCGTGACAAACAGAACAAGAGGAAGCAAGGCATAAAGACGGACACAGAGACAACTTCCAGGGTGATTGCTGCAGCAAACTGTTTCAACCCAAACAGATGGTTTTTTTCCCTGCTAAGGCCAAATCAGTCTGAAACTGGGATTTTTCAGGGAAAAGTTTGACAAGACCCAGACTTCTTTGGCACTGCCTGGCTGTGTTATCAAATACAGATAAGTGTGGGTGATAAGCGCCTGGTGCCCGAGAGTCTTGGCACAGCAGCCTCACAGGGAGGGAGGCAGTGATGAGTGGTTGAGCTGGCCCCTCTTCTCTGCTTCCTTGTAACAAACAATGTCCAAGGCCCTGCCCCTCAGGCAGTATGGACAAAGCCCTTGTCATTGTTACTGAAATGAGGCATTGCTGATGGTTCTTGGTGAACTTCTAACCAGCCAAGTGCAGGGCTGGTGTCCTTCCTAAATTACACACTTGCACAGACCATCCTGCCGAACGACTTAACGTTCCTCCCAAGTTAGAGTTCTTGCACCCTTTAGAGCAGCACCAGCCAAGCCACCCCCAGCCTCTGCCAGCATCTTCTGCAGCATTCTTGCCAATGGGGAGGCATTTCTAAGAATCCTGAAATTCTCTAGCCAGTGGGGTCTGTGTTATTGGCTGGACATAGTTTCTGCTCTGTGTGATCTGTGCCAATGGGCTCCATCCATGACCTTGGTTTTAATCATAGCCTTTTCAACTAGTGGATGTTCTCCATACTATGACAATGAAACCTTTAGTCAGTGGAATCAAAGACAAGATGCTGCTCAAGGCATTTGAATGGCCTAAGTCTGTAGTCATCAGGATACCATTGAGCCCAACCCTGTTCTGCACTTGGGTGTTATCTTAGTCAATTCAGGCTGCTCTAACAAATACACTAGACTGGGTAGCTTATAAGCAACAGACATTTATTTCTCCAGTTCTGGAGGCTGGAAATCCAACATCCAGGGGCCGGTGTTATTCGGTTCTGGTGAAGGCCCACTTTCATGCTGTAGACTGCTGCCACTCTGTGTCCTCACATGGCATAAAGAGAGCTAGTATCCAGGCATGGTGGTGCAGGCCTGTAGTCCTAGCTCCTCTGGAGGCTGAGGTGGGAGGATCACTTCAGCCTGAGAGGCGGAGGTTGCAGTGAACCAAGGTTGTGCCACTGCACTCCAGCCTGGGTGACAGAGTGAGAGGATATCTTTAAAAAAAAAAAAAAAAAACCCTTTTCTTGAGGCCAGGTGTGGTGACTCACACCTGTAATCCCAGCACTTTGGGAGGCTGAGGCGGGCAGATCACTGGAGGTCAGGAGTTCTAAGACCAGCCCAGCCAACATGGTGAAACTCCATATCTACTAAAAATACAAAAAAATTAGCTGGGTGTGGTGACGGGTGCCTGTAATCCCAGCTACTCAGGAGGCTAAAGCAGGAGAATTGCTTGAACCTGGGAGGTGGAGGATGCAGTGAGCCGAGATTACACCATTGCACTCCAGCCTGGGCGACAGAGTGAGACTCCATCTCAAAAAAATAAAAATAAGAGAGAGAGCTAGCTCCCTAGCCTCTTCTTACAAAGGCACCAACACATTCATGAGCTCTACCCCTTCTTGACCTAATCACCTCCCAGAGGCTTCACTCCCAAATACTATCACGTTGGTATGAACGGTTCAATTTATGAATTCTAGAAGACACAAACATCCAGTCCATTGCAGATGTGATGGGAGTGACATTGGGGTGCATGCCTTCCTGTTCCCAGATGGCACTCCATCCCCAGGACCAGCTCCAGTCTATCTCCAGTGCCTCCACCATTGTCATCATCATTGCAGGAATTGGCTGGCACCTGCACTGCACCTCACATTAATCAAGTAGAGTCACCGGGGTGCGCAGGTGCAGATGGAGGCACCTTTCATGATGCTCAGTGGTGGTCTCTTGTTCCTTGGGAGACTTACCCTGCCACTGCAGAGACCCTGCCTGCCAGTTCTTGAAAGCACCATCTCCCGGGTAGCTGCACCCTGGTAACCCGCTGCCTCCGGGCAGTCCACCAGTCTTTACAAAAGAGCCACCATCTTGACGGGTGGCAACAGCACCTGCCTGCATGCACCTCTCCAGGTTAAAACCCTGAGAAACAACCTGCTTTCTGAAGGAAGTTAAAAAGCCATCTGCTATTGGTTTAACAGTACTTTCTTCAGACAGATACTGTAAAGATTAACCTCAGCCCACTCTTAAATCGATGCTCACAAAACTCCAAATTATTAGTCATAGTTAATGAACTTTTATAAAAATTGAGCATTCTTAAATAAGATCGCAAATTCAATTCAAATATAGTACTTACGTCTTGTTGCAGTAATTGCCAAGATGGAACATTCTGGATTCCTGTGGCATTTGTGAATGCATAAAGCAAGAAAAAAATGGTTAAGAAAAATAATAGTAATTGTAATTTTAAAATCTCAGGGGCCTAATGAGTGGAGAGTCTGTATCCATTGGTAATAATTGTCTAATTACAACAGATTAAACATACACATCACCCACATTTTATGCGAGACAGAACTCAGAAATATTGCTGCGGTTTGCCTACTAGCGTTTCCCTCTCTTTCCCCTTCAGCTATAAATTGTGCTATTTTGGGGTAACAGACGGCATTCTGGGAAATGTCGAGGAACGTAGTAACTAGTTGGTAGGGGATGAGAGGCTTCAAAATGGCATTTTGAGTAGATTCCACTACGCTTCAAATAGGCTGATTCAAACCATAACATGAAACATGGAAATACCATTTTATTCTGTTTTTATGAGAACTGAATTAAGTTTCATTTCAGTGAGTCACAAATTACTTAACATGCTGAAATTAAACTTAACGGCACTCATAAAATTGGGAGGGAATTGGGGGAAGTCACACAAACATTGTATATTTTTCAGCAAGCCCCTATAAATCAAGAGTCCCATCATTAATGGTTCCTACTGTTGGCCTCCAGAAGGAAAGAAACGGCGATAATAAGTCTCTGATGCACAACTGCATCTGGAGCTGCTGACATGCAAAGAGTGAGTCCAGCTGACACACGGCTTTGCCTGTTGGACGGTGGACAGACCCAAATGTACCTGAGACCCAGCTATGCTTGCCTTACTGGTTTGTGCACACTTGTGGCCAACATTCTCCAATTCAGTTCCTACTTCCTTGGTACCGTAATTTGTATACATATCCTGGGCTTGATGAATACCAAGCCAAAACACCTTCA